TTTGGCCAATCTAGACCAAGTGATGTAGTTTTCTCCTCCCTTGAGAACAACAGGAATCTTGACTTGTATGAATTGATTCATCTTCAGAGACTATTACCCACTGGTTACACAAAGAAGCCAAGGAAACAACCCCTGAAATTTTACAACTCAAGAACACAGATTTCTTATCCACAAAGATAATAGATCTGGAAAGAAAATAAGAGGAGTAGGTTGATAAATCAAATAAAAGAGAGTATCAAAGTTAAATCGCGGAAGCAAAATAGGTATACAAGAGCTTAATGCTCTGATACCATGTAAGAAAGTGGAGCTTTGAGATTGAAGAACAAGAGAGAGATGAGAGAAAAGAGTAAAGAAGGAGAAACTTTTTCCTTAGATCTGAAAAAATAACGTTACAATGAGTTATAAAGAGAGGGGACATTCTTATTCTAGTAACCAAACACACTTGGCTTACTAGAGAAGCTAGAATAAATAACTACTATATTTATTTAATTCAATAAAACCAAGCCAGAGCCGTCTCTCAATCCCTTTCCACAAACTGATCCGAAAAGACTTCTTGACACCCGTTGAGACGAGAATCATCGAGGAAGACATCAACAATAGCGAGAAGATGGGTGTGGGAGCGGTTCTTGTTGATCAAGGCACTAGGAAGTGGGGTGTGTTTCTCAAGAGATGGGAGATGAACGGTTCTTGGAACTACGCTTTGGTTTGTGGTTGGAATGATGTCGTGAAGGCTAATGGGTTGAAAGATGGAGACAGCATTAGTCTTTGGTCTTTCAGATGCCGAGGAGTCCTCTGTTTTGCCCTTGTTCCTCTTCCCATGTGACTCAGAGTAGCTCTTCCTTTACTTTAACATCTTACTTGAAGCGATTCTGTTCTCAGAATTGTAATTATCAAGATTAGGGTTTTAGTACAGCTGTGTTTTATCTTACAACACCTTGTTGGGTTTATCTCAAGTATTTTTTAGTTGTTTATGATTTCTGTACTATGAAGAATCGATGAATGTGTTGACTCAGTTTGTCTTAGAAGTTTCAGTTTATTGATAGTTTCATTTATCTGACATAAATCTTCATGAATTAGACGGATTTTAACTCAGTTTGTGGTGTTAGTCTGCTTTAAAGTTGAGATCTTTTTGTTGTTGTGAGTTTGATTAAACAGCTAGAACAATATAAGACCAGGAATAGAAATGTGTTGCCTAGACAAGTTTCTGTTTTTGGAAAGTATATAGTCTCTAAATACAAATTGAATCGTCAAACAACCAAGTGTATGAGTTGAATTATGAATCTATACAGTCTTCTGCCTCTTCTGCAGTTCTATCTATTATTTCCTCTTTGGCTCTTTCTGCTGCTTTCACTCCTTTGCAGAATGTTTTGGTTGGGCTCCCAAACTTGATGCGAATTTGTGTTCCTCTTCATGCTTGTTGCTGATAGGATCCTTCTTAAGTGTGTCATTTTTCTTCTACTTGGTGCTGTTAGTTGTGCAAACTTTTGTTCCTCTTCAGTTTGAGTTCTTGAATTTTTCTCTCACTGGATCCTGGGGATACGTTTCTCTCATGGTTATCATTCAAAATAATCATGTGTAACCCCTGGCTCATTCTCGAGAAAACTGAAAATGAGAAAACACAGAAACAACAAAAATGAAGAAACTATTCAGAAACTTGAGCAATATTTCATTAGGAACATCAAACCGACAAATATAGCAAAGGATAGTGAGAAGTAAAATCAGGCTAGGAGTAGTAATGAACGTTAGAGATTGGTTGAGCATGAAAATGCACAAGGCTGTAACAGAAGTGGTTCTTTCCCAAGTTATCTATGATATTAAAACATGATCCTATTTTTAAATTTTTTTATTCTGGCCTTACATTTTAATTTAATTACAATTACATACCACTCATTTATTTCTGTATAATAAATTAAATTAACATTACCTAAAACATTCTAATTTAATAAAAGAATATTCTTAAATAAAATCTAACTAAATTATTCATTAATCATAAATTCTCCCAGCAACAAATTTATTCATTAATTAAACAAAGAGATAATAATTCACACAAGAAATCAAGATATCACGTCTACATATAAAAAATAATATATTGTTATCAATAGAAAAACATTTGTTATTGGTGTATAATCATTACTTATGTTATGACTAATAACATCATAAAACCAAATTTATACCTACACAAATCATAGTCACTTTATCTTATTAAAATGCTTTTTAAAAATTAAAACAAATATTTACAGAATAAGTTTTTATTTTTCATGTCTAATAATTAGTTATAGTTACACTGTATATATATTGATGTTATATATTATCATTGTTTGTATTATATTTCATTTTACTCAATTAGCTGAATTATTTGAAACTAAAGAAATATCTACTACTTTGAATACTTCTATATTCATTCGGACTATAGTTTAATTGTTATAAATAAAATAAAAGAGCCTCCTGCTTATTAATTTTAAGATTAAATTTAAATAAAAAGATTTAAAATATTTTGTTTAATATATACATATATTATTATATTATTTTTATTATCTTATTTGCATTTAAATTATTAAAATAAAATCATTGTAAATTATTATTTTTTAAATACTTATAATATATTTATGAATATTTTTAAAAATTTTGTTCACTTAAGAAACTAGCACAAGAAATTATACATATATTTTTATAATTATATAAAATTTAATGTAAATAAATTAGAATTTTTGTTATATAAAATCTCCTATATATTAATTGAGAAACATATGAAAAGCTGTAACCTTAAGTTTGTATAATTAAAAATAACTCCATCATATGTGGCATCTCTTTATGTCTACTAATTCAATTTATAAGGATTCTATAGCACCTTATGTAAAACATAGTTTTAAAATAAGGTTCATTGATCTCATATAAGACATATCAAACTAAATAACATATCAAACTAAAACTTCTATATATTCTTTCATTAACAATCTTGTTAATTTGAATTTTGAAGACTAGTTTGTGAACAAAAACCTATTTGGGAGCTAATTAAAGCCATTTTCGAGTTTAAATCCAAAATTCGATCGAAATTGTATTAAAATCTAAACTTGAACCCAAATGTATTTCCTGAAAAAGTTTTATAGGCACTTTAATATTTAATAGATGTTTTCCAACTATATATTCTAAATTTGTGATATTTCTTTTTTATTATTATTTATATAGAAAAGGAAACTACAATTATAAATCTGATTAAACTATAAGATCAAAAGGAAGACACAACAGTTTTTAAAAAAATTAATGGTAATTATATTAAATTTATATTTAGAAATGGGTATATATCCTTAACTTTTCAGAAATTATTAAATTGGCCCTATTTTCCTTTTGGGAAAATCGCATAAAAAACCTTCAAGTTGGCAACCACTTACACTTTAAACCTTGAGAGTATTTTACAAGCACTTTAAACATTCAAGTTGGCAAATTTAGCATATTAAACCTCCAATCTGGCTTACTTGTACATCAAGTTAAAAATGTGACCGGTACTGTTCAAAAGCGATGACGTGTCGGTTTTTTTGAAAAAAAAAAAAAAAATTTACGAAAAAATAAAATATAAAAATACAGAAAATATAAAAAATTCATTAAAAATCATTAAAAATTCTTTAAAAATTGAAAAAAATCAGAAAAAATTCAAAAAAATCAGAAAATCATAAACATTAAAAATCTCAAAATAATTAAAATATTTTATTAATAAAATATTAAAAATAAGAAAAAATTAAAAGAAATTATAAAAAAATCCCAAAATAAGAAAATTCAAAAAAAATTAAATAAAACAAAAATGAAATTTAAATAAAATTAATATAAGAATAATAAATAAAATAAATATAATTTCAAAAATAAATAATTTTATTTGTTTTATAAAAAAACGAGAAAACACTATATTTTTTTAAAAAAAAAGAATCATTATCTTCAAATGATTCTCGTGAACCAAATCAAAGCAAACAAATTAAATTCCAAGGATTTTTATGCGATTTTCCAAATAATCTAATTATCTTCAAATGATTCTCGTGAACCAAATCAAAGCAAAAAAATTAAATTCCAAGTCTTTTACCACCTAGACTTTCACCTGCATAAGTTTTTTTTTAAAAATTATATTGTTATTTGTTTTTCGTGTCACTATTATATATTATATATATGTCATCGTATAATTGAATGTATATGATATATACCATCAAATGATTCTTGTGAACCAAATCAAAGGAAACAAGTTAAAATCCAAATCTTTTAGCAGTTATTAAAATACCCTATATTAATCTAGTTATAAAATCCAGAAAACCTTGACTNATGTCATCGTATAATTGAATGTATATGATATATACCATCAAATGATTCTTGTGAACCAAATCAAAGGAAACAAGTTAAAATCCAAATCTTTTAGCAGTTATTAAAATACCCTATATTAATCTAGTTATAAAATCCAGAAAACCTTGACTAATAAGCAACAAAATGAGAACAAAATGACTTGGAATTTAATTTGTTTGCTATGATTTGGTTCACGAGAATCATTTGAAGATAATGATTCTTTTTTAAAAAAAAAAATATAGTGTTTTCTCGTTTTTTTATAAAACAAATAAAATTATTTATTCTTGAAATTATATTTATTTTATCTATTATTCTTATATCAATTTTATTTAAATTTCATTTTTTATTTTTTTTTTTTTGAATTTTCTTATTTTGGGATTTTTTATAATTTCTTTTAAGTTTTTCTTATTTTTAATATTTTATTAATAAAATATTTTAATTATTTTGTGAGTTTTTAATGTTTATGATTTTTCTGATTGTTTTGAATTTTTCTGTTTTTTTCAATTTTTAAAGAATTTTTGATGATTTTTAATGAATTTTTATATTTTCTGTATTTTTATATTTACTTTTTCGTAAAATTTTTTTTTTTTTTAAAAAAAAAACCGACACGTCATCGCTTTTGAACAGTACCGGTCACATTTTTAGCTTGATGTACAAGTAAGCCAGATTGGAGGTTTAATATGCTAAATTTGCCAACTTGAGTGTTTAAAGTGCTTGTAAAATACTTTCAGGATTTAATGTGTAAGTGGCTGCCACCTTGAAGGTTTTTTATGCGATTTTCCCTTTTCCTTTTATAATATCCGTAAAACGATTTTCTTCATTACCATATATATCAGAGGAAAAAAGGAAATAGGCAAATCGCTAAAGATCTAAGGCGGTTTGATTGCAAAAGACCAATTAATATTTAATGACAACACCAACCATTCTTTCTCTCATACGCAATCTTTTCTTCCTCGTTATTTCCAAACCCTAAATCTAATCTAGGGTTACTCTCTCGCTTTACATACCTTGAATCGATCTGAGTGAAGATGAGAAATATGGTGAAGGGAGGTGTGTGGAAGAACACAGAAGATGAGATCCTCAAGGCCTCCATGATGAAATACGGTAAGAACCAATGGGGTCGCATCTCCTCTCTTAGCGTTCGCAAGTCATCCA